AGGACAGTGAAGGCACCTGAACATGGGATTCAGTTATGCCCTTCAGGTAAATCACACGAGATCTGACAGATGGATTAGTATAAACAATGTCACCATTTCCTTCTGCTGGATGTACTGCTCGTCACTAGCATGGACCTGTGGGACAGTATGCTAAATGAAATAGGTCAGCTGAATGTAGACAAACACCACGAGATTTTACTAATAAGTGGAACCTAAATACAGAAGAGAACAGAGGCTTCAGTGTGTGGTGTGCAGCCTACAGCCCTCAGAAACTACCTGCATATGATTTGGGGTTTTGTTGTTGTTGTTGTTGTTTTAATTTTGTTTTTTATTATTTAAAACAATTCTCCAGGAGGCAGAGGCAGGTGGATCTCTATGAGTTTGAGGCCAGACTGGTCTACAGAGTGAGTTCCAGGACAGTGAGGGCTGCACAGAGAAACCCTGTCTCAAAAAAACAAACAAATTAAAAAAAAAAAAAAAAAAAAAAGTTGTCAAATTTAACTATACTTTGATCGCATCCCTGCACTCCTCCAAATCCTGCAGAACCTCTCCTCTCCCCTGTGCTAATCTCACAGACAGTGAGGAGAAATCATAACCAAATCATAGCCAGCTTTACTCGTGAACACCGCAGAGCCAAATCGGCAACTGTGTCCCCCTAAGGCAGGCTTCATAAGACCACCCCCAATTTTCCATACCTCTTTTTTAGGGCAAAACCTCAAGGTGGAGGATCTTTTCCAGCCAGTGTGGTTATAGAAGAGAGACCAAGCAGTTAAGAGTTTATAAAGCCGTTAAGGAAATCTTGGAATGTTGGTTACAGAACATTTCATGGTTATGAGGTGGGGCACAGCCCAGCTCTGAAACTTAAGTTCTACAGTTAACAGAAGCTTAGCTACAGACTTAAAATGGTGTCCCAGAAACAAAATGGAGTAGGGCGGGTGCCTCACCTAACCACCAAACTTCAGTTCTTTCTCAAAAACAAACCAAAAACCCAGTACAACAACAAAACCCCCAAAACACAACACACACACACACACAAAAAAAAAAAAACTATAACCAAATAAAACCAATAAACACACACACACACACACACACACACACACACACACACACACACACACACACACCACTATGGAGTTCATCATTTTGTTGGTCAACCACTCCTGAACATGAAGCCAGCCCTGGATTGGCTGTTATCCCACCTGTCACTCCACTGAAGAAAACCAATCCTTCCTCTCCCAGCAGGTACAACAGCAGCAGTTCAGCTGTTTACCCTCAGCCTCATGGCTAGGCCCTCATTCATTCATTTATTTCCTTTTTAAACATAATAAAATAAAATATAGTAAGACAAAACAAGAACCATCACATCAAAGTTAGATGAGACAAACCAACAGAAGGAAATGAGTCGAATAGAAGGCACAAAAGAGTCAGAGACCCACTTGTTTGCACTTTCAGGAATCCCACACTATAAATGCAGAGGACCTGATGCAGACCTGTGCAGACCTGTGCAGGCCTGCGCAGGCCAGTGCAGGCCAGTGCAGGCCTGTGCAGGCCAGTGCAGGCCAGTGCAGACCTGTGCAGGCCTGTGCAGGCCTGTGCAGACCTGTGCAGACCTGTGCATGCTGCCTCAGCCTCTGTGAGTCCATGTGAGCTTTGATGTAGATCATGTTGATTTAGAAGGCTTTGTTTCCTTGGTGTCCTGTCCCCTCTGGCTCTTACATTCATTCTGCCTCCTGTGTACTCCCCAAGCCAATATGCAGCTAGGGCAGGAAGAAGTGGAGACTAGAATCTCAGGGGAAGGTGTGAAAACAACCACAACCCCACCCCCCACCCCCCCCACCCCGACACTGTAAGTGGCTCATTACCAGTACCCCAGGGCAAGCTGCCACTATATAATCCACTTACTTCACTGCTGTGACTTAGCCGAAGTTACTCTGTGGGACACACAGTCGCTGCTTCATGGTGGCCAACGGCCATGCACCAGCTGCTTTCATTCAACCTGACACAAGCCAGAGCTAACTGAAAGGCAAAACCTAAATTGAGAAAATGCCTCCATAAGATCCTGCTGTAGGGTATTTGGGTTTTTTGTTTGTTTGTTTGTTTGTTTGTTTGTTTGTTTGTTTTCTGGGTGGTGTCACCCTTGGGCAGATGGCCCTGGGTTCTATACAAAAGCAGGCTCAGCCTCCATGATGACCAAGCCAGTAAGCAGCATCCCTCCACGGCCTCTGCATCAGCTCCTGCCTCCAGGTTCCTGTCCCTTTTGAGTTCCTCTCCTGGCTTCCTTCAGTGATGAATAGCAATGTGGAAGTGTAAGCCAAATAAATCCTTTCCTCCCCAACTTGCTTTGTTTGTGGTGTTTCATCCCAGCAATAGAAACCCTAACTAAGACAGGACATGTCACTCCTGAAGGAAAGAGACCCACCACAAAACTCCATTACTCCTCTGGTTCATACATTCTCTCCACTCCTTCTTCAAAATGCTCTCTTAATAATCTTCAGATGCTGAATCCCAAGCCCAATTCACGGTCACTTCAAGGGTATCACAGTAGATCTCAGAGTTCTTCATTCTTTTATTTATGGCACAAGAGTTTTTAGCCTCTTTTTTGTGCAAAGTATATCACTTAGTAATGCTCATTGATTCACATCTGAAAAATAGGGTGAACAGTGACCTGGAGCCTCCTCCTAGACCAGGACAGTGGCCAAGAGGCTCCACCCAGGACAGGACCAGTGACCAGAAGCCTCCTCCCAGGCCAGCCAAGCACTGCTCTCACTTCTGGATTAGGGATGCTCCTCTCACCTGTGTGTTAGCCCTGTGCCCACAGTTGTTTACAGTACTTGGCATGGAAAGGCCCTCCTAGGTGGGACAGCATGCGACAGAGAGAAGCATCCCGAAGGCAGATGAGTTGTACAGGTTCCCTTCAAGCTGAATATGAGGCTCTTGGCTTTTTGAAGTGGGGTGGTGAGCCAATCAAGATTTTGAGTCCCATTTGTAGTTTAGTGTTCAAGGAATAAAAGTACCAAATACACCAATGACCTTGAAGTGCCTGTGGTATAGATACAGCAAGGTGACTCTCATCTGTTCAGATCCCTGGCTGGAACTTAGTCAGAAGACACAATCCTCTGTAATCTCCATAACAGTTCTGTGCCGGAGTTTAAAGAAGGACCCGAGGAGGAAGAGGCAGTGACCACCTATTCTGTGACTCAGAAGAGGGTCCCTGAGCTGGGTCATACCTTGGCACTGTGGGCAGAGGAGGACGGGTCTGGAGAAACTTGACTGCTGGGATAACTTCTGAGCCAAGCGAACGTAATAGCTAAGGAGGAATAAGGAAAGCTGCACTTCAGAGGCCGACTGCAGCTTCCTGACATGTGATGATGACAACGGATGTCTGTGCGGTGCTTCCTTCGAGCTGAGAACCACAGGAATCCTGAAAGTGCAAATACGACCTGGGACTCCTTCCCCTGAATCCCCCAGCCCTGCAGTTCACTGGGGTATACTAAGTGATTTCTTTAAAAGGAAACAATCTCAACTCTGATACCAGAAATACTGGGGACCAGTCTACGGGCTGTTTCCTCACAAATGCTGAAGCGTCTCTGTCCCCATGTTCGGCACGAGACAGCCCTGGGGTGGGTCTCCCCTGAGGTTTCATTTTGTGTCTCTAAAAAGCTTAGACAAATGGAAGTACTTTTTCAAAGTGTCAAGAAAAACCATGAAAGCCAGGCCTGATGGCTCACACCTTTAATGCCAGCACTCGGGAAACAGAGGCAGGCAGATTTCTTAGTTCAAACCCAACCTGGTTTACAAAGGGAATTCCAGGACAGCCAGGGATACATAGAAAAACACTGTCCCAGGGGAAAAAAAGAAGAAGAAGAAAAGGAAAGAAAAATAAAAACTCTTTTATCACTCCAGTTCCACATGTTAATATTATGGCACCACCAGGAAGATTACTTTCACAAATTTGTTCATGAAATGTTTTCCAATATTCTCAACACTGGCCATCATTTCTTTTGACTTTTTCTGTTAACTCTCTAATGGTGTTTTGCTTTGGAAGCAAGGTGTTCTTTTCTATACCCATCTTTAACGTTTTCCTGTTTGAACTCACAATACCATGCACACACGTAAGTCAACTTCATTATTTAGAAGCCTGTCCCATTAGAGGGCAATATTAATAATTACGACAAACCACCTCATTGTTGGATTTGCCAGGCTGTGGGCTAATATAAAGGGAAGTAATTGATTTTAGTCTTACCCTAGAAGGATGCAGCAGGGAGCAAAATTCCGCCATATGTATGGACAAAATCAAACCTAAGGTGAGTGATTGCTCCTGTAATGATGCTACTTTACCTGTAAAACCAGAGCTCATTCCACTACAGCAAGCCCTGAATACTCCAACACAGCTGAAGGAAACGACATTAAAACCACCTTTATGAAGATGATAGAGGTCCTTAAAGAGGACATGAATAAATCCCTTAAAGAAATCAAGGAAGACAATAAAAAAATGGAGAAAATCAATAAATCCCTTAAAGAATGTCAAGAAGCCAAGAAAAAACAAATGGTTGAAGGAAATGAATGAAACTATCCAAGACCTAAAAATGGAAATAGAAGCAATAAAGAAAACACAAACTGTGGAAATTCTAGAAATGGGAAATCTAGGTAAGTGAACAGGAACTACAGATACAAACATCACCAACAGAATACAAGAGATAGAAGAGAGAATCTGAATGCATGTCCGGTGTGCACCAGTACCGTGGTCTAGCAAACACTGGATGTTCCGTGTAGGCTGTGTGATGAGTGACTGGAAGTATGTTGTGGATGCTCCAGTGGTGCAATCAGTTAGCTGGAAGTATGTGTACAACCACATGTGTGCACTCACTGGAGCGCTGTTCTCAAATTCGAGATAGAACCTTCTGAACAAGCCCCCTCCTCCCTTTCGTGATGGTCTTTAACCAGGTTTAGAATTGGCCAGCTTTGTTGCTTAGCAATTTCAGAATCCAGCAACAACTAACAATTATGATGGACCTCGGCCTCTCCCTGCCTTGCACTCAAACTTGGGGAAAAATACAGTAGAATTATGATAGCAGCTTTGGCTTCACTATTTTTTCCAGTGTAAATGAAGAGTCACGTGGTGGAATAGGAAGATAGAATCTGTCTTCAAACTTCGTGGAAATCTAGTTTGGCAAAGTGGAAGCACAGGTCCTTCGGAGATGTCAGAAAGAAGAGAAGGTTATCTAGTTGCAGCCCAGCCTCTCTGAGCTAGCAGGTTTTCACCCCAGCCTTTGAATCTTGAGTCTTATTTGTACGTAGAATGATAGAGCTATAGCTAAAGCTACCTTTAACCAAAGTGACAGAGCCAGTACTTGGGGGAACAGAACTCCCTCCAGGCTATGGCCTGAGCATCCAGGCCGCTGCTAAAGAAACAGGCTGGTAACTGTAGAGTTGCAATTGCTGGCTGAAATATCAGTAAATTAAGGCACAGCCACTGTACTGAAGTTAAAACAACAGCTTTGATAAAGAGAAGATGCCAAATTGTGAAGGATAAATCAATTATTATTGACATGCGGGCGCTCTGCGTGTTTCGTGAGGGATGAAGCAAACGGAACACGTTTCTGCTTCAAAAGCTCGTTTTGACCACAATATAGAAAGTAAAGAACAGGGGCGGAAAAGATACCGTTCAGAAAGTGATTACAATCACAAAATGGGACACTAGCGAGGACTGGCAGACTGGGGTATTTCTGACTGAGAACGTAACTAGACTGATCCAACCTTCAAACTCACAGCCTTCCTTGCTCTTCTGAAGGAACCGCACAGCCTGTCACTGAAGAACAGATATTGACTCACTGCCTTAAGTCAACTCGACTTCTCGTCAGTGCAGTATAAAGGTTTTCTGTAACATTTTTCTTGAGACTGTGATTTTTCCATCTACTGAGTAATGACAACCTCTCTACACCTTAAGGTAAGCTTCCTGAACCTCGGTTTGAGACACACAGATTTGTAGTAGTGTGAACCATAAGCAATCGAAAGATGTAGATTTTTATCACCTGCTGTTGTGTTTGTAAACAGTCAAATGCTGCTTTAAGAATTAATTGTAAGCAAACACTGCTAGCACTTTTAGCACTTAAAATTTTGATTTAAATATATCTTAATACTTTTCTTACTCTGGTGTTTTCAATATGCATTTTGTTAAGTTTTCATTTTTCTGTCACATAAATTAAAAAAATGGGACTCATACAAAAAATTTTAATTACAAGCTGAGCATGGTGGTGCTGGTGCTCGCCTTTAGTCCCAGCAGAGGCAGGTAATCTCTGTGAGTTCGAGGCCAGCTTGGTCTACAGAGCTCCAGGACAGCCAGGGCTACACAGAGAAACCCTGTCTCAGAAAAACCAATTATTATTATTATTATTATTATTATTATTATTATTATCATCATCATCATCATCATCATAATTAGGCGAGTAGGCTATGGATGTGATACCTCATACTTTAAGGTAAACTCCCCTGCTTTTGTATGTTGCACCGGAAAGCTTTTTAAAGAAACGTATTTTCATGAAGAAAAAACCATCAGCAAGTTATTCTTGTCAAGTCTTTACTACACCGGGACTGTGTTCCTCATATCTGTTAGGGAAGAGTTCCTAGTGAAGGCGATTTTCCCCCCAGGAACCGCGTTCTTAGTCTGAACTTCCACAATTTAACTCGGGCGGAACACTGGGAGCGGAGTTTACCACCACATCCTTCCACCTGGAGGACAGCTCCCTGGACTCGGCTGCTTTTCTACCTCCCTAACCTCTGGGTCGTTTATGGCCAAAGGGTTAAGGAGAGGAAAGGGGCATATAATTTCCCCTGGGAAGCCATTCCATTTAACCAAGCTTTTGTATTATTATTATTATTATTATTATTATTATTATTATTATTATTATTATCATTATCATTATTATTTTTATTTTATTTAAATAACTTTTTTCCATTTATTTTATATACGGACCACAGTTTCCCCTCCCAATCCCCTCATCCCCTTCCACTCCTCCAAATTTAGAAAGGGGCGGGCCTCCCATGGACTTGAGCAAAGCCTGGCATGCCAAATCGAGGCAGGACCGAGCTCCTCCCCTAGGCTGGGCCAGGTAATCCAGCAAGGGGAACAGGTTCCCAAAAGCCAGCTAAGGGCCAGGGACAGGTCCTGATCTCACTGCTAGGAGCTCTACAAAGAGACCACGCTACACAACTGTCACATGTAGAGGGCCTAGGTCGGTCCCATGGAGGCTCTCTGTTGGTCCAGAGTCCATGAGCTGTCTCTGTGGGTTCCCTGTCATGACCCCCCCTGGATCATACAATCTTCTTCCCTTTCTTCTGAAAGACTCCCGGAACTCAGCCCAGTGCTTGGCTGTAGATCCCTGCATCTGCTTCCATCAGTTACTGCATAGAGTATCTCTGTGACAATTAGGGTGGTCACCAATCTGATTACAGCGGATGGTCAGTTCAGACTCCCTCTCCACTAATGCTAGTAGTTCTAGCTGGGGTTATCCTTGTGGATTCCTGGGGGTTTCTCTGGTGCCAGGTTTCTCCCTAACCCTGAAAGCTTGTCTCCCCCTCCCCCAGGCCTAGGCACCCAGCCCGCCCAACCAGCTCCCTCAAGTTCCCATCCCTCCATCTCTCCCTCCCCTGTCCTCAGTTTACCCAGGAGATCTCTTCAATTTCCTTTCCCCAGGGAAATCCACGCATCCCTCTTTGGGTCCTCCTTGTTACCTGGTTCCTCAGGGGCTGGGGCTTGTAGGTTGGTTACCCTGTACTTTATCCCTAATATCCACTTATGAGCGAGCACTCTAACCTCATTCTGCCTGAACTAAAGGTATATACACCAGATATTGCTTTACTCTAGTGAGTAAAGAAATAAAATAAACAGGAAAATAAACAGGATTTTGCCATGTACCTGGGGCTGATCCTCTTGCCTCAATATCTCAAATGGTAGGCTGGCACAACTACTTCACACTTTATTCTCAAGTTCTAATGTATCACAACATTAAAAAGTATATTATTAGATTTACAGAAGCAGGAAAGAAGTCTGTTTTTAAACTTCCTGGAAATCTTGAATGTTGGACCCCAAAGTTTTTAGGGTCACAAGTGGGCTCCCCAAGAACCCAGACTCCAGTCCAGTTGATGCAACAGTCCCAAGGATTTTAATGAAGCTTCTGTACAGATGGGCTCCTCTGCTCCCAAGAGCAAGAGTCGCATCTTACTGCAGCCCCATAAGGGCTTTTAAAGGAAAAACCCACAAAACCCACAAGATTACAATTTCCATATAATGTCATTTCGATTGATTTATGTCTAGAAGCAAATTTCATAAAGTCATTGTCTGGTTCCAGAGTGATCACAGAGGGGGATACAGTTACATCAGCGTGCACATTTTTCTTGAAACCTAAAGAGGGGGTATCAGGGCGGGAGTGGAGTTCACATACAGGTCACAGTGGTCCTTCCTGGAACATTTGCAATTTTCCCAGTCACAGTTGAGCACATCTCTTTATAGAAATCTTTTTACATTGTTATATTGTTGCCGGGGTGATTGAGTAGTGGCTGAGTCAGGTTGCCCTTGGAACTAGATTTTTAGTTTCTCATTTCCTGGTGCTTGAAGTTTCTCCTTTCCTGAGGCTTGGGGGTGTAAGCCTGAAGGGCTAGGGTCTTTCATTCCCCCATTTTCTTTTGGCAAATTTTAATCTTAAAATTTATTCAGTGACCTTTAAAGCTTGGTATTGTTGGGTTAGAACAAGGGACTGTACAATAGATAATCTTCCCCGTATAAATTGCAGTATCATTTTTAAAATGCATGGGCCAAAGGTTAAAAGCAGGAGTAAAATAACCAGGGGTCCCATGATCGCAGACAGCAGGGTTGTCACCCATGGGGACCTATTAAACCATCCTTCAAACCAGCCTTGTTGGGCTTCTCGATCTTTCTGTCTTTTATCCAATCTAGTTCGAAGCTTTCCCATGGAGTCCCTGACCACTCCTGAATTGTCTACATAAAAACAGCATTCTTCTCCTAAGGCAACACAGAGGCCACTCTCTTTTAGGAATAATAAATCCAATCCCCTTCTATTTTGGAGTACTACTTCTGACAGGGAGGTAAAAGACTGTGCTAACTTCGAAACCGATTGTTCCAATGCTCGGAGACCCTCGTCAACTGCAGCCTGGAGAGTTGAATAATGCTGTTTCTCCCGAATCAAGGCTGCTGTCCCAGTCCCAACCCCCACAGCGACTCCAAACCCCAGTAGAGCTGCTAGAGTTAGAGTCACATGTTCACGTTTAAAGTGAGTGGGGTGGCTGGAATAAGAATTTTCAAGAGTGCCTGCCGGGTGGAAGTATATTCTGGGGATGATCTGCACCATGGCACAGAAGCATCCCCCTCTTTCTATCCTTTTAAGGACTTCAATGGTTACACGAGGAGTCAGCCCAGTGGTGCAGGCCCACCATGAGTCTTTAGGTGGGACAATGTATGGTCCTTGTATTTTGGAAGTTGGGATGGTCTTATTACAGAGGCTCGCTTGCGGTCCTGTAGGCTGCCCAATACAAAGGCCTACCGTTCTGTTAACTTCAGTTAGGGTTAGTTTAGGGATTGCGTTCCAGTGACAAGTGGAAGCCTCAACGATGGTGTAATTCCCAACAATGGCAATTCCCTCATAATAAGGGGGTGCTGCCCTAGGCATAGGTCAGCTAGGCTAGGCTTGGTTTGGTTGATGATCTCAAAAGCTCCCTCTATTAGGTTAAGCATTCTCTTTCCCATGCCCTGGCTCAGGGTAGATCTGGGAGTCGACCCCATGGGTCTGTGGGGTGTCTCTTGTTCTGCTAATATCTTATTCGGCCCCAAGACTTGTGGAGGGATTGAAGGCATGAATTGATGGGAAAGAGTGATGAGGACTCCCCAATCATATTCCGTGGGGTTGTAATGCCGTAACCCCCAGGTTCCTGGCACATTGGAGGGGTCTGTATAATTAAATTTCAGTCGGAGATTTTTACCCCGGCCTGGATAGCAAATTCGCCCACAATCTTTCCATTCAATTGAAAGGGGGTCATTACCTTGCTTTGTGCCCCATCTTCCTGCTACTCTACCGAAAGACGATGTCTCGCAACCCCATTTATCACAGTAGAATTGCTGTGGGGAGTTTACATCCCGAGCGGCAGGTGTTTTTGTTCCCAGGACAAACATACCAATCACCAGTCCAATGAATCTTTTCACCTAGAGTTTCGAGGATCTTTTTGAGGTCTACTTCCATTTCATTTGGACATCCAACTCCGTATGGGCTGATGAAAGATTTAGTAGCCAGAACAACATCAGTACCCGCAACAGTTAGGGTCCAGATAGTTGTTCCTGGTATATGGGGGTTGTTTATAGACAGTGTCCCAGTCATCTCCATTATGAAGATCAGTGTCAGGCACGCACAATTTTGAGCTTTAGAGGGTTTTGAGTTTGCTGAAGCTTCCATCTCGGGGTCGTAGGGTCCTCGTTGACCTCAGCAGGTGCCAACTTGATGTGGGAGGCGTGGATCCAAGCAGCAATCCCGTCAACCTTGACAGCTGTTGGGGTGGTCAGCAATATGGTGTAAGGTCCCTTCCAGCGAGGTTCCAGGGTCTTAGTCTGATGTCTGCAAACGTAGACAGTCTCCAATCTGGAAAGGATGAGGCACACTAGGTGGTTTGGACTGATACACAGCTGCTAGCGGTTTCCAGACTTGGTTCTAGATGAGCTGTAGGGCCCTTAGGTGCGCCTGGAGACTGGGGGATGTAGCAAAGGAATCTATGTCAGGTCCCAATAAGTCTGCTATTGGGGGAGGGCCCCCATAGAGGATTTCATAGGGGGTTAATCCAAAGAAAGCAGGCAGGGGTGTTCCAAACCCGGAAAAAGGCCATGGGGAGGAGTTTGACCCAGTCTCTAGTGCCATTCTCTATCGCTAATTTAGTGAGGGTCTCTCTGGGGGTTCTATTGGTAGGTTCTACCTGTTCTGAACTTTGGGGTCGATAAGCACAATGTAATTTCCACCTCAGCCCCAAAATTCTGGCCACCAACTGACTTACCTGGGAAACGAAGGCAGGGCCATTATCTGACCCTATTACCTTGGGCAGGCCAAAACAGGGAAAAATCTCTTCTAAGATCTTCTTGACCACCACCTGTACCGTTTCTTTCTTTGTCGTGAAAGCTTCCACCCATAACGAAAACGTGTCAATAAAGACTAAGAGATATTTAGCTCCATATCGTCCTGGGCGGGTCTCAGTGAAGTCCACCTCCCAGTTTGTTCCTGGGCAGGATCCTCGAACTCTGACTCCTTCTGGCAATGTCCGACGACTGGCATTTACCTTGGCGCAAGGCACACAGGATCCCGTAACCTGCTTAATCAGGGAGCTTAGGTTAGGTATGAAATAAAACTGTTCTTCCCTATGTAGTAGCTCTCTGAGCTTTTTGTGTCCTAGGTGGGTCAGGCGGTGGAGGTCAGTCACTAGCATGCTAGCCATCTTTTGGGGTAGGACTGTTTTGTCCTGAAGTCTCCAAGCTCCTTCTTGTTTATCATATTGCACCCCTCTCTGTTGAACAATGTCCAGATCTCTATCTGAGTATTTATATCCTGGGGTTTGGGGCTGCTCTCTAGGCTCTTTTAGGGTGAGTATCTGTTCACCTAGAGCAGCGGCCTTGGCTCTTTCATCGGCCATTCTGTTTCCCCGGGCTACCGGGTCATCTCCTTTCTGGCGTCCTGGTCAATGTGTAATACTCAGTCTCTTGGGCAGATGAAGGGCTTCTAAGAGATCCAAGATCTCTTGCTTGTTTTTAATGTCCTTTCCCACAGATGTTAGTAATCCTCTCCTGCGATCTATCTCCCCATGGACATGCGCAGTAGCAAACGCATACCAGTGGTCAGTATAAATATTAGCTGCCTTACCTCTAGCTGCCTTCAGGGCCTGTGTGAGGGCCACTAGTTCAGGCCGCTGGGCCGAGGTCCCAGGGGTTAGAGCCCTTGCCCAGATCACGGTGGTGCCATCCACCACGGCTGCACCTGCCCTCGGTTCTCCCTGATGCAGGAAGCTACTCCTGTGAGCTACTCTGTGAACCAAGTGAAGTCTACGGTCTCGGAAGTGGCTGATCTGTCAGATCTTCTCGAGTGCCGTGAGTCTCGGCCAACACTAGGTGGCAGTCGTGCGCCATCGCAGTTTCTGCTCCTCTCTCAGGGAGCAGAGGGGCTGGGTTGAGGGAAGCGAGGGTCCCAAAACGGATCCATCCGCTCAGGGTTCAGCAATGTAGCCTGGTAGTGGGTGACTCTCGCATTTGAGAGCCACCGGTCAGGGGGCTGTCGGATCCCTGTCTCTATAGCATGTGGGGCCAGGTTGTCCCAGTGTGATCTTATCAGAGTCCTTGACCAGGGTTGCTACCGCGGCTATCATGCGGAGGCAAGGAGGCCATCCTGACGCTACATTATCCAGTTTCTTGGAAAAGTAGGCTACCTGTCTTTTCCAGGGGCCCAGTTGTTGGGTTAGGACTCCTTTTGCTATACCTCCTCGTTTATCTGCATATGGCTTTTTCATGTCCGGGGGGCGGGGGCCCAACGCGGGGGCTGACAATAAAGCCTTCTCGATGTTATCAAAGGCTTGTTGTTCCTTCTCTCCCCAGGTGAAGGGAGCATTGGCCTTTGTGAGGGGGTATAACGGGGCTGCCATTTCTGCGAACCCCGGTATCCAGAGGCGGCAGAGGCCTGCACTCCCTAGGAACTCTCTCAGCTTCTTAGCACTATAGGGCGGAGGTATGAGAGCCACGGCCTGTTTGCGTCCCTCGGTCAGCCATCTCCGGCCCCCTCGTAGAAGATACCCCAAGTAAGTCACTTCTCGCTGGCAGATTTGGGCCTTTTAGGCTGAGGCCCGATATCCCAGCTCTCTCTGTCTTTTTAACAGGGCCCCGGTACCTCGAAGGCATCCTTGTTCCGTCTCAGCTGCCAGGAGCAGGTCATCTACATATTGGAGGAGGGTCACATCTGGGTGGTTAACTCAAGGTCCTCCAGGTCCTGGTATGTAGAGCCTCATCGAACAAGGTGGGGGAATTTTTAAATCCCTGCAGTAGCCTGGTTTAGGTACTGTCCCGAGTACCCAGACTCTGGACCTTTCCATTCAAAGGCAAAAAGATTCTGGCTCTGAGGGCTCGATCTCAAACAGAAAAAGGCATCTTTTAAATCAAGTACGGTGTACCCAGATACGTCCTGGAGGCAGGGTGCTGAGCAAATTGTAAGAGTTAGGTACAGTAGGATGAATATCTTCCATCCTTTTGTTTACCTCTCTCAGGTCCTGGACCTGCCTATAGTCATTTGTACCAGGTTTCTTGACCGGCAGCAAGGGAGGATTCCATGCTGATTGACAGGGCTTCAAAATGCCCAATTGTAAGAGTCTCTGGATATGAAGTCTTATCCCTTCCTTCGCCTCCTTGGTCATAGGATATTGGCGGATGGACAAGGGGGTGGTGGTAGACTTTAGAGTTATCATGCTGGGTGGCCAGTCCCATGCCTGCTGTTTCTGCCCATGCCAAGGAGTAATTGGTGAGCCATTTGGGGTCTATTCGGAGGGGTTTTGGAGGAGCTTCATGAAGCCGGTGCTCATCCTCCAATCTCAGGGTCAGTACCTGGAGGGGCTGACCCTTTGGGTTTATAACAGAGACCCCCTTTTCTTGAAAATGAATTTGGGCTCCTACCTTGGAGAGGAGATCTCTTCCCAATAATGGGTATGGACAGTCTGGTACCAGCAAGAATGAATGAGTAACTTTTCCCGTGGGTAAGTGGACGTCTCTCTCTGAAGTCTATTTATATAGCCTTCCTCCGGTGGCTCCCTGGACCCATGATGTTTTGGTACTCAAGGGCCCTTTGGTCTGGGTAAGGACCGAATGCTGGGCCCCTGTGTCAACCAGGAATGTCACTGGTTGGCCTCCCATTTTAAGAGTTCCCCGGGGCTCAGGGGGAGGCTCCTGGCCCTGACTCACCTAATCTTCTTCCAAGGACAGCAACCGGACAGGCTTGCGCGCTTTTGTCTTCTGGGTAAGGACTGGACAATCCCTGGCCCAGTGTCCCTTTTCTTTACAGTAGGCACATTGGTCCTGTTCCAGCGGCAGCTTCCTTCTGTTTCCCAGGTTCCTGTTCTGCCTAGGCCTATTCTGCCCTGTCCCTGAGACTACGGTGGCCAGGATTCTAGATAATTCTTTATTTCTCTTTTTGTCTCTGAAGTCCTCTCTCTGTTCCTGTTCTCTGCGTAACCTCTCTTCTTTTTCCTCTGGCGTCTCCCTTTTGTTATAAATCTTTTCAGCTTCCTTCACTAGGTCTGGCAAGGTATATCCCTGGGGCCCTTCCAGCCGCTGTAGCTTAGTGCGGATGTCGGGGCCGATTGTCCAATAAAGGACATTATAACCTAGGCCTGCCTGTCCGGCGCCACGGGGTTGAAGGGAGTGTACATGCGGTATCCCTCCATCAGTCTTTCTAGGAACCCTGCCGGAGTTTCCTCTGTCCCTTGTACTATAGCACAGTACCTTAGCCAAATTGGTGGCGCGTCTACCTGCCCCTTGGAGACGTCGTTCGCTACCACCAGGGGTGTTGAAATCCCAGTCGGGGCGCGTCAGGGGGAAGGCTTCCTCGATCTCATTTGGCAGCGAGTGGGCCTGCCATCGTCCCCCGGCACGTTCTTACGAGCCTCTAGGGCGACACGCTGTCTCTCTTCGGTGTGAGGAGGGCCGGTAATAATGGGTTACAATCTTCCCAGGTGGGGGCGTGGGTGAGGAGAATGGACTCTATTAGACCAGTTAAAACTTGGGGGTTCTGGGAGAAGGACGGATTATAGAGATCCGAGGCGGAGAACGGCCAGTATTGTGTTTGTCCACCTACCGAGCGAAGGGGAAGGACTTGTGACGTCCCCCTGTCCGTGTCTGCGTCCCCCGCCTTCTCCCGGCAGGAGCGGAGACGGCTGCTGGGGGTCGGGGGAGATCCCGGCGAGGAGAGTGCTTGCTCTCTGCCCGGAGAGTTCGCCCCCACAACCCTCTTTGAGGACTGACTCCCTTTCTCGTGTTGGCGGATCAGCGTAAGGGGGGGAGGCTGATTCCATCTGAGCAGATCCTCCTGGTCCCCTAGTAAGATCCGGGGTTTCTTTTCTTTAGATTCTTTACGCTGGATTTCCTTAAGGGGGTAAAGGGAGGAAGTAGGAGAGCTGGGAAACGGTTGGGGAACAGCCGGGGCTGAGGGCTGCAGAGCTAAGGGTATAAGTGGAGTTTGAAAAGGGAGAGGGGGAGGTCTGGGTCCCAGCGTACTGGGGCAGGCGAAGCCGTGAGAAACGGCTTCACCCAGACAGGTGGATCTCTAGCTAAACTCTCCCAGACCGAAATATAAGGCACTTGATCCGGGTGTCCATGTGGTCCTTGGTCAAAGATCTGAGCCTTCACCTGTGAAATGATGTCAGTGTTAAAAGTCCCATCCCTCGGCCAGCCGACCCCAAAGGCCGGCCATTCCTAGGAACAGGTGATCCATTTCTTTTTCTTGACGTCCAGAGAGGCATTGTGAGCCCGAGCGAGGACATCCTTCCAGTTATCTAAAGTCAAACTTAGGGGGGTAGTTAGTTGTTGCCCCATGGAGAGGAAATTAAAGAGCAGAAACAGACAAAGACACAATCCGCGCGGTGGTTGATTTGGCTCCACAAGCAAAAACACAAATTCAAATGGAAGTGGCCACGAACAGCCTCGCTCCCCCAAGGAAGGAGAGACTCTTCTCCTTCTTCAGATCACTCCGGAGGAGAGTGGGGACCCAGGAACTCTTGAGCACGTCTGCTCTCCCACACACGTCCCAGACACAAGTCCTGCACACTTCTGTCAGCACCGAATACAAATGCCAAATCAACCAAAGGACAAGACATAATAACATAAAATGTAGATCGAGCTCGTGTTTACCTCCAATTGTCAGAGTGGGGTCGGGGGGCACCCCAATCTCGGTGGAACCTCCGATTGTTGGACCCCAAAGTTTTCAGGGTCACAAGTGGGCTCCCCAAGAACCCAGACTCCAGTCCAGTTGATGCAACAGTCCCGAGGATTTTAATGAAGCTTCTATATAGAAGGGCTTCTCTGTTCCCAAGAGCAAGAGCCGCATCTTACTGCAGCCCCATAAGGGCTTTTAAAGGAAAAACCCACAAAACCCACAAGATTACAATTTCCATATAATGTTATTTCGATTGATTTATGTCTAGAAGCTAATTTCATAAAATCATTGTCTGGTTCCAGAGTGATCACAGAGGGGGATACAGTTACATCAGTGTGCACATTTTTCTTGAAACCTCAAGAGGGGGTATCAGGGCGGGAGTGGAGTTTACATACAGGTCACGGTGGTCCTCCCTGGAACATTTGCAATTTTCCCAGTCACAGTTGAGCACACCTCTTTATAGAAATCTCTTTACATTGTTACATTGTTAC